ACACAGAAGCCCCAGCTCCAGTTTAAACACTTATTCAAGCCAGAGCCACACCTGGCTGTCGAGTTTTCCCTCTCGCTTTGCAAAGCAAACTAGTCTTTCTCCACTGCTCTCATCACCAAAGTCAGTGCTTATCATAGCAAAAATGTTAAAAGGGAGGGAGGGGAGGAAAGAAGAGGGAGAAAAAAAGGAAGGAATGAAGGCAGGAGGACTGTAATTATAGTAATCATGAATGTTTTGCCTGTTTGATGGAGTTTTGCAATTACCAAATGAATCAGTTGCAGACATGTATAAAATTGATCTGAAGTAGGTGAGGAATCAAAGGAACTGAAATTTGTGATGAAGTTTTAATGCTCTTAAATTATTTTCAAGATTTCTTTAATAAAATATGTGATGACAAATTTCCCCGTCATGATGTCAAAAATCACACCATATATTAAAAAGGATCTGGAGGCCAAGATGCTCAGATTAGCATCTGGTTTGTGGACAGTCTCAGGATCATCTGGTCCTCTAGCCATGGGAGGGACAGACCTGTAAGACTGTAAGACTCTGGGCCTCTGAGATCATAGGGGGGCCAGGTTTGACCTCACCTAAAACCCAGGGTGGGTTCTAAGTAGGTGATCTAAATTCTATGACATTCCCATATGGTGCCATCAGGATCTGAAATCTGGTCACACTCACTAACTTGCCTCAAAGTTTCATGCTCCATAGCTGAGGAGGCGAGAAAGATCACTTCCCAAAGGATGGGAGAGCCAGACCCAAGGCAGCACTATCTTTCCTTCTCAACTCCTGTGTCCGTCCCCTTTATCCCTATCCTCAGCACCATCTCTATCCACTTGTGTCCTTAAGTTCACTTTTTCATCAATTCAAGTTAAATTCTGCTTTTCTGATTCCTCATCTCTATGGTGTCCTCTGAAGCCATGCACATACACCCTTCTGCTCAGATCACACAACTAACATGGAATATTGTTTTCCGGGCCATGCTTTCACCTAACTCTACGGGGCTTGCCAGTCACTTTGTCAAAGTCATCACCTGTTTTTGAAGTTGATGAACCAGCAGTAGACAGCACTAACTCTGTCCTCTTGCTACCACATTTCACCATCAGCAGCCTGATGCTTCATCTGCAAAGAGCATGTGAACTCTGTCCATTCACTCTCAAGCTCAGCAGAGCACTTGTGCACAGTCCATCTGGGTCTCTTTACCCTGCCTGATGTTCTGCACTGCTGCACCTGCACCTCCAGGAGGTCCTCTCCTTACAGTGACTGCATGATTTTAAAGTGCAAAACAAACCTTACCACCTCACCTCCCAAAAGATTTAATGTGGCACCTCTTAATCATAAAGTCATCACCTATAGAGCAAAACAGTTTAAAAAAAACAGCCATGTTTTCTTATTCAATCATCCTTAGTATCTCATATATGACACCTGGTTCCTGTTCTCTGAGTGTGCACGGCAGGGGTGTTTACTGTCAGCCTGTCCTGCAGGACCCCACTTCAGTCTCCTCACTGAATGCTCCAGAGAGCTATTTGTGGGACAACACTGGACAAATTCTTAGACACATAAGAGAGTTCCTGATTTTTCTTCTTTGATCCAACGGGCTACGTCAGCCTTGTTCCAAGAGAAAGACAGAAGGGACAGCCCGAGGGACAGCTGTGGTCAGAGAGTAAGAGCTAGAGGATGCCTTGCTTGTACAGACCTTCCTCCCGGGGATGCTGCAACACCTATCTAAGTCACGATGAACATCTGGGAGCATGTTGGGATACATGCAGTTTCTCTTGGAATAAGCAGGCATTCCCAACTCCAATGTCTCATTCTTGTTTCTGATATTCCTGAACAATTCCAAGGCTATCCGAAGAGACAGTGTGGGCTCTGCATGTCCACATCTGGTGAGAAACATGGGCTCTATTTCTCAAGTCTGGGAATAGTTAAATGTCTGATGCCTTCATATATTAGTGATGAGGGTACCTACTGCTGTGAGGTCCATCCTCCAGGGATCCTGCAATATTGGGCAGTAAGAATCACACTCCACTACCATATTCTTCATGTGAATGGTATAGCCCTCTGTCAGCCTCACATAGAGACTCGGCATGAGCAACCCTCCTTTGCCTATGACTCTGTCATACATTAAGATATGAGCAAGTGAGAACAGTCCTAACCCTAACTGTAACCACAATGCTTGTATTCCTTCAGACATTTTATGCAAGATACTATAGGGCAACTGACATAGAAGATGAACACTATGGAGACATGAAGAGGTGTCTTTGAAGCATTCTATCAAAGTATTGAGAGGGTCCCATAAGAAAAGGACTGGGGCAGAATAGCACCGTCAACAGATTCTCTGGTTTGGCTGTCAGTGGTGGATGTCAGATGGAAAGACGCTTGTAATATGACACCACCTTCATATCAGCCTGGCTGGACTGGAGTTACATGTGAGGCTTCCAAGGAGCTGAAGAAAGGAGTCCCCTCACTAAGAGCACCATGCCAGTGTGCCCTCACTCTAGACAGCTCCATTTGCAAACTTCTAAGTCCTATGCCCTCTGACCACATACATCTAATTATGGTAACCAGGCATAGGAGATTTCAACAAGGTCACGTAGGGTCTCCTTCTCAAAACCACAGCCTCACTTCCACTCTTGTCTTAGGTGGCCTCCTGCACTAAGATTTTCTTTCTCAATTGAGCATGAAATTTTCCACTGACTTTCTATTGGTTAGCCTCATTCCTTTTTGAAGCATTTCATATTCACAGGTTAAAAAAAATGCACCAATGAAAAAGAACTGATAATGTTTACAAAGATTACCTATAGAGACAGAAATGCATACGAGCAGTTTTCCTTCAATTATTAATCAGCCAAGCAGATGGTTGACAGGGGTGCAGAAGTAATTAAACACAGCTAACACACAAGAGAATTGATTTATTCCTTGCTTATAGAATTTCACTTTCAACGCACCAGAGCCTATACTTCTGTAAAGCATGTCAGCTCCACAATTACGTCTGATAAACAACACAGATCCTGCAGTCCAATTTAACCACAGCATTTGTTTCTAAATGCTTTAAAAATCTCAAAGAATGATTATTTGATTCTGAGAACTATATAGTTCTTTCACTTTGCTGCTTGCCAAGGTTACAGCTAAGCTCGTATTTTCTGATCAAATGAAATCCTTGGTGCCACCAAGGGGGGCAGGACATATATATATATATATATATATATATATATATATATATATGTGTGTGTGTGTGTGTGTGTGTGTGTGTGTGTGTGTGTGTGTGTGTGTGTGTGTAGTAAGTGCTTCCATCTTTTCTATCCTGATCTATAGGTAGTGTCTTCTGCCTCTGTGGGCCACAGAAAGCTGCATTCCTGGGCTTATTGGATCTCAATTCTAATTAGATATCCTGTCTGCTGCAAGCAGACTTTGCCGCCTTGCTCAGAAAGGATGAAAGCATACCCCTGTGTCGACTCCTAACTGACTTAGGTGAAGGCAAATTTTCATGTAGATGCCAATTTCAGAATGAACCATGTGGGCACTTCTCTCCTTCCCAAACATGTTTTCAAAAGTGTCATGGGAGTCCACAATCCCTCTAGAAATTCACCTCTTATTTGAAGTATCTCTTCAACACAATTCGATGCCTTTTGTGACCTCTGTCAGTGGCCTGGATGGGTCTATGACACAGACTTTCAGACATCTCCTGCCATTAAAGCACTCCACCTACAGCATTCAGTGCAGTTCAGACCCAGGCTAATTGTACCAGACCAAGCTGAGTTCTTGGTCTAGTGCAATCAGGTGAAATGAATGAGAAAAGTTTGAGAGAAATTTCAAGCTTATTCTCCTCTCCACACCCCCATGCCTTCTGTTTCCAGCAGGAGCAGAGCCAGGGCCACAGGAGTCCATAGCTGCTGGCCACCTCTAGCTTTGGTCTCAGTTTGAGGTGTGGCAGCTCACCAAACTGACCCCACCTCTGGGTCCTGACTCACCTTCTTTTTAAGTTGAGGCCTAAGGATGCATGTTAACCCCACCCCATACCCTGGGACACTAGACTGCAGGGGACTGCCCATATTAACCCCAGCACACCATCCTGTGGAGACTGAACTTCCTAGGCAGGGGCTGGGGCTGGGAGGACAAAGTCGGAGAAAGGGCACAAGAGGCTGTTATGAGAAGCTGACAGCAGTGTGTCTCGTAACGAAGTCATTTTGGGACATCAGGAAATACTCTACTTTTCTGAGAATTCCCTGCCCCATAAGGAAGTCTCACCCTCACCTTCTATGTCCATGTGTCTTCCCAGGAGCCATTCATTCTATCATTACTAACTATAACTGGTGTTTCTCTCATGGCCTGATATGATAGTTAATGCCATGATGTCCATGTGCCATGGTTCCAAGCAGTGGATTTTCACTTCCCTCTGGGTCACTCTTGAGCATGCCTGGAGTTCTACAATGAGTAAGTGACTTGGATGCCCACAGGCTCTTGCCAGATACCAGTGGACACTACAGGGTTTCAACCTATATTTAAGTCTCCTCAGCTTTAAACCAACTGTAAGAGACTCATCGCTCAGACTTGTAGTAGCAAGTGCTCTCTGTGGTGACTGGACACATCACACAAGAAACAGTCTTTTATGGGCTGACAGAGAAAATGGAAAGGGAAGCCAGCATGTATCAGGGGACCAGACACATCCTCTAAAACAACACATAGCTATAGCAGTGAAGTGCAGCTTAAAGAAAGCAGCCAAAATAAGGGTGTGCTAATTCCTATCTCTTAAAAACTATTTTCTTAGCCGGGCGGTGGTGGTGCACGCCTTTAATCCCAGCACTCGGGAGGCAGAACCAGGCGGATCTCTGTGAATTCGAGGCCAGCCTGGGCTACCAAGTGAGTTCCAGGAAAGGCACAAAGCTACACAGAGAAACCCTGTCTCAAAAAACAAACAAACAAACAAAAACCAACAACAACAAAAACCAAACTATTTTCTTATTGTAGTCAGTGTTCATGCCCATCGCTTGGACCAGTCTTACCTGCTTGGTCTTTGAATATTTTGGATATGACGACAGGGACTCCATGCTCTGCTCCTCCCTAGAAGGCAGAGAAATGGAAGGAAACAGTTATCAGGACTGACACTGAAGGTTTTGGGGCCTGAAGGCAGGGGCAGCAAGAAAACAAGCTCATACCTTGATACTCAGGCCCAGGCCACCCACAGGTTGTCTGCGAAGTGTAACAGTTCTGTGCTTTAAAAAATGTTAGGAAAAAAATAAGTTTAGGTTACAATGCGTTATCAGAGAATGAACAAAGGAATGTATATATAACATCCTAATCAAAACCTAAGCAATTTTAAAATAAAAATTCCTAATTTGGCGCTTTCCGACCTCTGCAGTAGCAGTGACGTCGCCAGCCTTCAACCAGTGGTCTGCTCATAGGGAAACAAGGTTGCTGGTAAAATCAGGTCCTGTTGAAGGCATAGCTGGAAACCCACACAAAATTTCTACAGACCTGGTTAGCTTGCTGTCTCACCCTCATAGGGCTCTGCCAACAGAGCCCCATTTGGACAATGCCCATGTCCATTCTCCAAGTGGAGAAGTTGGCTCCCTTCAAACTTGCTCCCCTCCCACCGGCCCTAGAAAGGAGATCCTCAGCACACGTCACTGCAGTTCCCGTGTTAAGTTCCACTGTGATCACCACTATGCATTCCAGAAGGAACCGTCTTTTCATACCTATGAACACAGATGGCTGAGAGCACTTAAATGAATATGGTGATAAAAGCTAAGAGCACAATATACCTGTAACTGGCAATATTCAAAATCTCATCTCTTACATATGAAACCACGGTCTTTCATTTTGCTGTGGTCTAAACTGACTGAAAAATTTTTACACAGCTGCACATAGGAATGGGCCAAACCATGCAGGAACCATGCTGGAAAGGACAGGGGAGATGGCTGGGGTGCAACAGTAAGCAGGAAAAGCATTTCTTTTTCCTCAGAAATACTATAGGAACCATAAACATCATACTTTAACTGAAAAATAGTAACATTCAGACTGAAGGGCTCCAAAGAATCAATGTTGGAAAAGCAAGGACAGAGGCTGAGAACAGCAGAACACCTGGGGACCCTGCTTCATCCTGGGGCTTGGGTACCAAAATAGTACAGATAGAAAACAGTAGGCTGGTGGGAAAAGCTGCTGTGGCCCTTGGCATATGTGATGTCTTCCCCAGACTGCCATATCAACCTGTAAATAAACTCTTAGGAAGGACTGTGTTGGTTGTGAGATGGCTAAGTTCTAATTAGATGTGGTGGCATATGTCTGTGCTTCTAAGAGAGCCTCCCAGAACAGCAGGACACAGAGGTCTGAATCCATCACTCCCCAATAAAGTTGATGCCTTAAATACATCATACACTCAGAATAAAGAAACAAAAAAAATGAAAGTAAATAAACACACTTTACAGAATCCATGAGTAAATGCTCTGCATAACATTGTAACTGGAAGAATTATATTTTGTGCATAGTCCATGCGTCTAAGTAATGAACCCTTTATAAGAACACACACAAGGAGAGAGCTGTTATTTAGAGACTTTAATGTAAGAGCAGTCATTTTCAATTTTCTCATCTAGGCCACATTCAAGTGCACCTGGCTCCCATTGGAGACACCATGTCAGTACTTATCTGAGGGGCCAAGAGTGTTGTCATTCACACGACAGCAAGAGAGCAGCAGCACACAGTTTAAACCACATTCGTCACAGCATGAATTACAACATCCGGGATCTCAAAACAAGCTAAGTATCTAAGAATGAATAATTGATTGAGATTCCTCAGTGGAATACCAGTCAACCTTGAACAGGAGGGGAAGTTACTCATCTGTGACGACATACATGAGCTGCAGAGGATTATTAATACGTTTGCGACAATTCAGGCACAGAAGAAAAATATGGCATGATCTCATGTCTGTGGTGGGTGCTAGGGTTACAACGTACAGATGTAGCAATGTTGGCCAGAGGCAAAGGTGTGAGTTATATGATGGGTAATTTATAGCTGAGTGTGGCGGCACATGTCTGAAATTCTAGCACCTAGAAGATATAGGCAGGAGGATCAGGAGTTCATGTCTATCGATTAGTTACACGGGGGAGTTTGAGGCCAGCCTGGGGCCACAGGAAACTCTGTCTCAATAAAATATAAACAAAAAGGGTTAAATTCTGGGGCTCTGACTACAAGATAAGGATGACAGTTCACAATATTGTACTGTATACTTGAAGTTTGCCAGGAGGGTAGATCTTACACTGCAATACCACCGAGGCCTCCACACACATGCACACAATGTAAATATGCAAGATAATATATATACATATATAATGAAATAGTTTAATTTCAGCAATCATTTCTATATGTAAGTCAAATCACACTGTACAGCTAAATATATGCGATTTTGTCTGTCATTTATATCTTAATAAATTTGATAAAAATCAAACCAGCTGTTGGGACAGAGCATCCCCTATTGGGAAAGGAACCTTAGTTGGGGTTAGTATTGTGATAAAACACCACCATCAAAATTAACTTGGGGGAGCGGAGGGAAAGGGTTTATTTTGGTTTGCAGTTCCAACATCACAGTTCATCATCCAGGGAAGTCAGGGTGGGGACTCAAGGCAGGAACCTAGAGGCACAGATCTGAATGCAAGTTTGAAGCTGTAACAAACTTTAGTCTGGAAGTTAAGAAGTAAGAGTTATAGTGGGTAAGAAAATTCTACAGGAACTTAAAGAATATGACTATAGGAAAGCTGCTTCTAGCACTTCAAAGCCACTTTTGTGCTTAATGAAAAGACACATAAAGGGTAAGAATCATCTGTGTCAAAGAAGACAGCTGTCTTGACATATTTATAATCCAAAGGAAATGTGGAGAGAACCAAGTACAGTTGAAGGGAGACTACTGCCAAGGTGTGAGTACCAGCTGATGGTCAGGAGAGTATGCTGGGCTGAATGGTAAATGCAATCTCTTCTAAAAGTCATTTTATAATACATTCTGGGAGTGACATGAAACAAAACTTGAGAATTCAATGAGAACACACCCACTTCCCAGACAGAAGGTTTTATCACATTTCATCATCAGTCCTGGATCTGTTCCTCTGACTAGTGAGTGAGGGCTTGTGTGTGTGGAAATGGGTAAGTGCTCATTTGTAGGGGAATGTCTAGACTACACATTGCCAGGGGTCAATCACATTACACATTCAACTTCTTATCCATCTCTGAATGCTATGGCCTTGACTCTGATGGGTGGTTCTTGACACACAACAGATTCTGTCTTGATATTTCTCTTGACCACAATGATGAGTTCACCAGTGGTTTGATCTGTGCAACAAGAGCTCTCATAATCCAATATCCTCCAAATGACTGGATCCACTAAACTTTGATGCATGAACTATGTGAAGGACGCTTCACTCCAAACCATACACTGGTTGAATAAGTCAATGGCACTCTGATGTTGTTCTGACTCTTTAGATAGACTCTTACTAAGTGCCCCGACTAGCTTTGAACTTGCTATGTAGCCCAGGCTAACCTCAAACTCACAGATATATATGACTGCCTCAGACTCCCAAGTGCTTGGATTAAAGATATGTGATATCACTATCACTTTTCAAATTCAGTTCCTACCCAGAGGTATCTGGGTTAAGACTTGTGCAGAGATAGGTGGATCCACTGGGTGGCTAGCCTAGTCAAACTGAGGAAGTCTGGGCTCAGTAAGGAACCCTGTTTCGTGAAATAAGGAGAGAAACAGAGGAGGACCTGATGTCAAACCCTGGCCTCCACACACTCATACAAATGACTATACCATACCCCCCTCTCTCTCTCTCTCTCTCTCTCTCTCTCTCTCTCTCTCTCTCTCTCTCTCTCTCTCTCTCACACACACACACACACACACACACACACACACACACACACCACACCTCCCCTACCCCACATGTACACACACATACACACACTACACCTCTCCCACTCCCACATACAACATTAAAAAAAACAAACTTGAAGAAGGTATGAGATAGAACTACAAAATGAGTATTTAATCTTGGGATGTAACCAGTCAGCCCTTAGGGATAGATGAATTGCAGCATGCCAGTTTCTCACAGAACCTTCCTGAACAGTGATTTTTGAAGGTCTTTTCTGACTGCTGGACCTGGATTGGGTTGAGGCATGCCCTGGAAGCAGGAGTACTTACATTAGCACCAGGAGGGGCTCCCCCGATGCAGATGACATCTTGCTTTTGAACAGTCAGCACCTCTTTTGTCAGCTTCAGCCGGACGTCATAGGCATTTTCCAAGCCTTCATCATACAACAAGGCCAGAGCAGTTTTGGTCTGTGAATAAAAGGTGATGATATGAACAAGTGAGTCCAGGAGCCCTCAGAAAGGAAAGATGACAGGTGCTTCCTTTCCTGCTACCTTCTAACCTGCATACACATATTTCTCTTCATTCACGGTAGAAACTGATTGATTTACAGATATATCTTTATATACCTCTCTGGAAAGCTGGGCTTTCCTTGTACTCTATAAATGCTGGTTGGGATTTTCCAGACTTCCTGTGACATGCTTTCACATCCTCATACCAGAGATGCTGAGTAATCCATGTCTCCATTTGCAGCAGGCATTCAAGACAGCAGGACTACTTTAGCAGCTCTAGATAGGGAACTGCAGGATACTGAGAGTCCCTTGGGGTCAACACCCAGAACAATAAGAACCTGTTTAGCAGTTGCAGTCCATGACACAGGGGCTGTCACCAAGGGAAGTCACATCAGGCAAGTGCCTGAGGAAAGGGCTCATCTGTGGAGGACAAGCAGAGCTCTCAGTTGACATGGAGAGGTGAGGTATCAATTCATGGAATGTCAATATGTCAAGCACACAATCACATGTGATATTAATTTTCAACAAATTGAAAATTGAGTCGAGCATCTTGTGCCAGTGAGTTGTCTTGGTGAAGAAAATCCCTGGTCCCAGAGACTCCAGGAAAGGAAACAACTGGGATTCATTCAGAGGAGAGAACAGTTGTGTAGGATGGAAGCCAAGGAAAGGGTGCTAGCCCTTTAACAAATGAATATGATATTCTAATTATACATTTTGTGATAGTTAATCTCTGTGGCCAGCTTGGCTGGATGGAGAAGTGCCTAGGAGACTACTAAGTGGAGTTTTCCTGAGGGTGTCTCTAGAGAGGACTAGATCAGGCCATCTCTGAGGTGATCAGTGGTTTAACCCACTACGGATCCAGAAGTCAGACAATGGGGAGGTGATGGGAGTGTGGAGGGCAGGTCCTCACTGGAAGAAGTGGCTCCCTGAAGGAATGCCGTTGAAATGAGTATCTTGCCCTGTCCACTTCCTGTTCTTCTCTGCTTTCTGATGCCAGAAGGTCACCCATATGCTGTAGCCTCCAAGATACCCTGATTCACCATGGCCTGAAGCAACAGTGCTGGCATAGAAACCTCTATAATTGTGACTCAATGTAATCCTCCTGCCTCACAGTGTTTTCATGAACTTTTTCACAGCTACTGAGATGGAAGAGCACACATTTTAATATTGAATACCATCCATTTAAAAGTTCACCAAAGAGATCAAACAGGACTCAATAAAGATCGGCACGGGCCATCTGCTGCCTTCCTTTGCCATCTGAACCAGGTGACACCAGTAAACTCAGCTCCTCAAATGTTAAAACGAGAAAAATGAAAAGTCAGGAACAAAACCAATTTGGAGATAATTAAGCTTTCTAAGTCAAAACTATAATTTTATTCTAATCATTTCCTCCTATGAAAACATTCACTTACACCCAACTATAATTAGCTTGGCAGAGATAATTGTGTGCTTTGACATAAATATGATGCAACATCCAGGGGGTGTGCTGTCTGCCCCTTATTGTACCTCTGCAGACACCGGCCACTATTCTCAGAAAACTCATCAGTGTAGTCCAGATACCCTGTGAGAAGACCTCAGCTGGCACCAAATCCAGAGTGGAGAAGGGACCTGCCTCCTTCCTGCCCAACTCCAACCCTGTACCCTAACCTCTGTACCATGGCTCCAGCAACCAATGTTCTTTAACCAGACAATCAGGGACCTTTTCTTTTACATAGTACCCAAAATAAAAGTTACCTTAATCTGCTTCTTCAAAGTAAACTTAGATCTTCTCATTCATAAAGAAAAAAATTAAAAACCTAATAAAAACCCTTATCCCTTCTGTAGCTTTCCATTCTAGGGTAGACAGTGTCATTGCCTAAGGTATATGTGGCCCTCTGACCACCATGTCCGAATTCCAACAAACTCCTTGCAGCATGCAGGAACATACCTAACTGTAGTCATAGGACCCAGTATTGTCCCGAGTCTTCCCAGTGCCACCCATGGCCCCACAGGCACTCTGCATCATCATGACCAGGAAAGGCTGCTAAAAGTTGGTCGATATGACCTCATTCTTCTGGGAAAAAATGACCCAGGGCTCTTCACCTCACAGAAAAGCCACATTCTGCACTGCTGTGAGCTTTGGTTCCATCTGGTACCTCTTTGTTCCCACCTCAGCCCTTCTGTCACCCTGGGGGCCACCAACACTGCAGTCCTGTGCCCACCTGCTCCTTGCTATTCCCATACAGCTCCTCCTTTACGGCCTGAGGGGTCACCACTAAGGTGTAAAATCCAGACACCATAACAAGTTATGCCCCCAGTGTCCTGGTTCCCTTCTCTACTCTGCTTCCTCTTGAGATCTGCAGAAGCTGAGTTCTATGCTCCAGGAGGATCCTATTACTTTGCTCAAGGCTGGGTTCAGGTTCCTTCAGCTGGAGTCAGTATTGCCTAGGACAGAGGAAAGTTCCTCTCCCCAGTGAGACCCAGGAAGAAAATCCCTCCCTCCCCCTCCCCCTTTTCCTCTCCCTCATTCCTTCTCTCTCCCTGTGTGTGTGTATATACAGTGTAGTGTACTGAATTAGCATGACTTAAGAGCCAAAATACACTGATTCACTGCACAGAAATAGTCAACCTTTCTATGACAAGAATGCCATATACAAAAATGTGAACATAGAGCAGATAATAGATTAGTGTAAATAGTCTTACTAATCAGGGTAGAAAATTAACATTCTGTTAAATTGAGAAAAGAACATTGAATACAAATCCCAAAAGATCTAAAAATTAACTCCCTAGAGAAAGAGTTACTTGAACAATAAATGATCATAGATAACAGAGTAAAGTCACATTTGTGTGTAAACACAAGTTTGTGTGTGAAGGTAGTTATGCCCCAAATTTACAAAGATGGGCTTTTTAGAAATCGTATTCTATATAAATATGGGCATTTTTTAAAGTTTTGAGCATGCATCGTATACTGCTGTCTATTTAAATATGCCAGGTTATAGCTCACTATACCTATTTCTTGTCTGTTGAAGTTGATTTCCATTTCCCTTCAAGTAATTTAAGGTAGGCCTCCATGAATTTAGAAAAATTATACACATTGTATATTTTTATTATTTATGCCTCTGGGTGTATCTCTGGGGTATAATTAGTTATGGATGAATTTGTCACAAAAGCCCCAGAAACACCTAATTAATAATTTAGACAGAGGACATGGATGTCTAGAGTGTCCATGACTAAAAGAAGCACATGTGGCCATTTCATTGTTCAAAGTATGAAAACAGGTACAAGTTAAGAGACGATTTTCCTGGTTTATTTAGAACTGAATATGTCTTCAATGCACTGTTGACATTAAGTGAATTAAAGAATGAATATCAGATGCCAAGAGAAACCTGAAATCAACCAGTTCCCAAAATGCAGAAAGGAAAAGAAACTCAACTGGTCACCTTTTCAGGCTCTTCAGAATGGGGACAGAAGGATAAAATTTAATTTAGCTGTGATTTTGGAAGCATAAAGCTGAGGCGACTCTAAGTGTTTTAGAGAATTCTAAGCCCCTCCTCACATCTTCCACATGGTTAAGAAAGCTTTCCAGATGTCAAGACCTCATGGATGAAGTCAGTTTGTCAATTGTGCAGCCAGTCTTGTGCATGAGCTGCTGCGCGTCAACATTTGCACGTTTCAGGGCAGCATACAGACCACAGTTTACTATGTTTATCTTATGGTTTTGATACTTGTAAGAAGCAAGCACTTGACTTTGGCATTTCTGTCCTAGACAGCATAGGTCTGAATAATCCCTTTTACAGGTGTGAGGCCTATAGATTGCCAACTGTGAAGCAGGCTGTAGTCTCCATGAAGCTACCAGCCAGGCTCTATGATTTGTTCATAGACCTTCCCATTAGTTTTCATAGCATAGTCATCACCAGATATCAACAAGTCATTGAAGCCTGACATAGATTATCTGGGAGGTTCCCTCTGTGAACCTGAACATCAGCACCATGGTGCTGTGGGATGGTCTGTATGTCAAATTGCTCTGATTGGTCAATAAATAAAACACTGACTGGCCAGTGGCCAGGCAGGAAGTATAGGCGGGACTAACAGAGAGGAGAATTGAGATAACAGGAAGGCAGAGGGAGACACTGCAAGCCGCCATGACAAGCAGCATGTGAAGATGCCAATAAGCCATGAGCCACGTGGCAAGGTATAGATTTATAAAAATGGATTAATTTAAGCTATAAGAACAGTTAGCAAGAAGCCTGCCACAGCCATACAGTTTGTAAGCAATATAAGTCTCTGTGTTTATTTGATTGGGTCTGAGCGGCTGTGGGACTGGTGGGTGACAGAGATTTGTCCTGACTGTGGGCTAGGCAGGAAAACTCTAGCTACACCATGGGTCAACTCATACCTACATCCTGACAGATTTCAGGGTTATAGACAAATTGCTTCTTGGTGGTGGTGGTGGGACTTGTACAGTGTTGAAAATGATCTCTTCATTCAGCCTCAACCTAACCAAAAAGCAATGATCTGAGGCTAGGAATCCAACAGTGATCAAGTGAGAAGGGGGTGCTATCCCCCAACTGGGTGGACAGGCTCCGTGCTTCTATGTAAGTTGTTGCCTCTGTGTGGAAATTGTCTGGAAATTGGTGCCTCTGGCAAATGTGCTGCATGGCCATGCCACACCTGCAGCCCAGTGCCACTTTTCACCAATGACTGTGCCATTTTCCATTAAAAAAAAAAACAAAAAAAAACTGGACAGTGAGATGAGAACTCCCTCAGGAACAGTAAGTATCTAATGGAGAAACAATATTTCCCTCCCCTGTTTCACCCCTTCAAACTGTGTAGCCCCAGCCAGGTATCCATCCCTACTCTATCTTAGAAAAGTGTGTAGAAGCTGATAACTCTCAGCCTGGAGCTGGCTCATCACCATCTTTATCCCCAGCTGCAGATTTTCCCAGTCCATAGCCACTACCACTACTTTAGAGTAGGAT